TATCCTCTTTGAGTGATCCCTTTTGCTTTTCCAAGGTTCGCAGCATTGCTAACGTTGCTAGCATCGTAACTTGGATAATGGCGTCTGTCTATAGCGCTCCTTCAACAAAGACTTTGACAAACTAGGAACCGCCAACATGTACAGAAGGATAGCTCATTTGGTAGAGCTACGGTACGGCGTTGCAGCGGTCACAAAATAAAACCCTTTTCAGAGAGTAGCGAAGACGCCCAAATAGAACAAAGTATGTCAAACAGTACATCTCTAAACATTGTTTGTATGTTCAATATCACTTACTGTGTCTGCCCTCCGAATAACATGTCGCATCAGCCGACACAATGCATCTACTAGAATTTAGCATTAAAACACTATGCTATAAATGAATAACCCACATATTGTTAAAACAGCTGTTGCCACTGCTTCTCATTACAAAAGACAGTAAGAATCAACATATGTTATCAATGTCATGATATGGGGGAAAAATCAATTTGCCTGCGTTGATACAGGGAACCTGGGCAATGATGTACATGTAAAGGCCCCTGGTTGAAATCAATACAACATCAAACAATTCCCAATATACTGGTGCACATACATACATGCATTTCTTTTAACCCTAACATCCTAAGGGCTCTTTGGGGGTCAAGGACTAAATACTACGAGAATACTACCTGTGTTGTGCACACTTCAAAGAAACGCATACTACAGGTTACTACTCAGTAGTATTTTGTACATTAGGTAGGTTAGGTACATGTATCTTAACCCTTTAGTCACTGTAGCGCCTGAAACCGCCCGCCTATTACTCACTGTAGCACCTGGTACATCCGAAAACGTCAGGGCCACTCTACATGTATATAGTTTTATTGATTCTTCAGTGAATAAACACAATATAAACATTATTATTTATATCAGGCTTCCAGCGTTAAAAATAAATCAGCGTATTGTATGCTTTTATAAAAAGTTCCCAGATGACTACAATAATAAAGTACCCGGTTGACTGCAATAACATGTTATTGCAGTCATCCGCATTTTCGCTGGTTCCCGCTTGATCAAGAGCATAGAAAGTCACAATTATCAACCACTCAACAGAGCATAAAGTCGAAACACGGAACAAACGCCGCGCGCATGCAGCGCGCAGAAGGACAGGTATACGCGCACTGTTGTTAACAATTACAGTGGCAGCTTCAAGACATTTGATGTAAACGAAAAAGATGTAATGAACAGTGTCTTGAATTGTGCTTCTTGCGGATCAGTCAGCCTGATATAAATATAATAATAATATTGGATGGCTTGTTTTCAATGGATACAAGAATATATTGCACTCGCTATGACAATATTGCACTCGTCTTCGACTCGTGCAATATTGTCATAGCTAGTGCAATATATTCTTGTATCCGCCTCAAAGCCATCCATATTATATAAATTAGTACAGGTGCTAATCGGTTAACTTTGTTCTCGGTGATGCAAGCAGTATATGAACAGTACTTTTACAGCCTCTCTTCGAAACTTTTTTTTTCAATGAAACTTGCAAAAATGTACAAAAAGGAGGATTTTATTTTATTCCTGGTCAAGTGGCAGCTTGTGTTCAATTCCAAAGTAGTTTGAGTTCAGTGCACTTTACTTTTAGATTGGGCCATCGCATTTTGCTTTGAATCCCATTTCCCATGAAACGATAAAGACAATTTCCACAAGAACGGATGGTAGAATTCATGCTGCGCAGAATGATACGTGTACCTTAAAATCTTGCGGATCACACGTACATTGCATGTTTATCTGGCTTAAAAATTCCGTTAGGACTCAAAAATCAAGTTATAAATGTAGGTACATTTACAATGGTTCTGAATGCCAGTCATGTTTTTCTATTTCGCAAATGCTGCTTCAAGAACAAGTCGAAGTAAACCGAAAAAAAAAAACCCAAAACAGTTTTGAATTTCAAGAGTGAATATTACCGCAGTCACTGTGCCCGTACAACCCATTGTACATGTGGTTTGTGGTCTATCAGTATCCGCACAGTCTATGACGTGTAGGCACACCAGTAAATAGGAATGTCCCACCATACTGTATGATAGGATTCTTTACGAAAGACCACTTTTTAAAAAAAATTTCCTGGCACAAAAAATGGACACAGCGTTTGTTAAATATATACCAGTTTGCCCAGCAAATTCGAGTTGGGTTGGTTCGGTCCGGTTTTTCTCTGAAATTTGTGCCGGGTTGGGGTGGGTCAGATTTGGGGAGATCAGATCTGTTTCAGTTCGGATTCGGTTTATATCTATGTTTCGGGTCAGTTTGGCCTAGTCACCCGACCCGATGCACAACGTTACTGTGAAGGTTTGGGTTTATTTACATGAAATTACAAATGCATTACATCCTCCCCGTGGCACAGCCCCAGCTTGTTACCATAGAGACCGTTTATTTGAATTGTGGGATTCCCGACTGTACTTCCCTCGGGCAACCTGAGGGTATCTCCGGCCCACGAGACATACGCCCTGCCTCGATCCCCCCACTGAAGCTCGAAGATGTAATTCTGTAAAAAAAACAGCAAAAGTAGAATTAGTTCATGAATAACATAATAGCTCGAGTGTTGTTGTACTTGTAACTTGTAGATCAAACTCCCGAACGGTCCATCAGGGACTAAAGTGAAGTTGGCGAGAGTGGATTGATGCATAGCGGGGAGGTGAAAGCTTTTTTGGTCTTGGAAGGAGCTTTTGAGATGGCAAAGGAAGTGTGTTGACAATTTGCTGTGGTTAGGGCATTCCAAAGTAAAATGTCTTCAGGAAAAAAAAGACTGGATAAGGCCAAAAAAAAAAAAAAATTGGTCTCTGGTCAGACACAAAGTTCCGGAATCGACGCGGCCACGCGGCTGTTTTTTTTTTCTTTTTCTTTTCTTTCTTTCTTCAAGCTTGGATTGTACAGACAAGGTGGGTACTATTTTGCTTTTTTTGTGTCCTCATGTACATTGGTGTCCTCCATAATTTGCCTTGGTGCTTTCGATCATTTGCCTTGGTGCAATTTTCCATTCCTTGGTGCTCTTTGGTAAAAAAAAATGAGGAGGTGCGGAAATAGAGCGCGCTGTTGGAGCTACCGCGGAACATTGAAAAAAAAAAAATTGAAAAATGCGCGCATTTTTAAATCGTCGCGCGTCTGACCAGAGACGACTTATTTTTTTTTTTGGCCTAAAGGGGTAGATGTACGTTACGATGGTGGACTTCAAACTGCTTGTCGTGGGTTCTCCTGGATCTGGTATTTTTCTGTCCGAGGTATAAGTTGGAGTCAATGTTCGGTGTCTTGGTAAAGAATCTTGTGGAGTGTTGGCTAGTCGGTGCATCGCGTCTGCCTGGTTCATCAATGAGATTCCAATTGAGGTCAATGAGCATCTTGGTCACACTGGTTATTATTAAGCTCTAAAGGCACCGCACATGAACCATGGCTGCTCTTCATTGGACTTTTTGAAGACGTCCCTCATACTACTCATACACAGTATTTGTACTCAAGTAATACTCGACATGCTCGAGTACCATTGTGAGAATAATCAAACTCGTACTCATATTTTAAAAATATGAAAACACTCAGACTCAAATGTCCAGAACTCAAACTCAGGGACATTACAGTTTGCATACATGTACTTGTGCTTTCTTATGGGAGCCACTTACGGGAGCCATAAGAAAGCACACGCATGGCACCCAAAAGAAAACTCATGTGTAAACAAATATACCACATCTGATACCTCTCAGGTAAATTGACAAAAAAATAAACAATTCAATTTTGCGATCTATGACAATTTACAGGAAAAATCAACTTGGGATTTTTTGGAATACATGCAAAGCCAATCAGTGACACCAGACAAAAAGGTTACTGATATGATAACCACAAAGTGTCTGAACTGTTCATAGAATTGGTCATGTGATAGATCACCTGTTTTCGCTGGAACTCTTGACCCCAGGTCACCGGCAGACTGATGAAGCAACTCTTCATGGGCATGAACTCCACGACGGCGATACGAAGTGCCATGATTGGTCCCTTTCAGAGGCGTACTACCAGTGTGCGGCGCGGACCGTGTTGGATGCGACTGTTCAAGTCATTTCTGGTACATTAAAAAAAGATACCAGTAGGGCTTCAATTTCAAAAGTAACATTCGCTGACATTTCTTTCTTTAGATCGTTATCATCTCTTTTGAAACTATGGTCACATTAAATTTAGAATGTTAACATACTTCTAAGGAATACTACGAAAACTCTATTTGTTTATAGCTCATGCGAATAAATGGCCTTGTCTGTATTTCAGGAATCAACTTTTGATCCAAACTGTCAACACGGTCAACAAAATGTCAAAATGAAACGTAATTGATAATTTGTGGAAAAGTGTACTGTTGTGAGTGACATTAAGTCCCAAAACCTGTGGCATCCAAAAATTGGGCACAAAATCGGCCGAGTAATCCCTGTTAAGCTGCTTATTTGGCACACTTAAACAAATCTCAGATTTTCCTGAGTGAATATCAAAAGAGCAATTGCACGGTTACTCACGTTACATTTTTGATGTACTTTTGAGTTTCCTTTGGCTGTAATTACCTTACTGAAAAGGTTTTAACAACTGTTATCCACATGGTGGATAGAGTAGACCTAGACCTACCTAAGCACCAAAGATGACATCCAGAAAAATGTGTTTTGCATGATAAACAAGGCGTACGAAATCGGTTACTCACGTTAAGAAAATGTAACGTGAGTAACCAATTTTGTTCATCTTCATGATCTTGTTTATAGCAATACGGAGGCCAGGTACACAAGAGGGGGCCTCGAACCCCACACTGTAATTTTTGGGACCCACCTTTTTGGGGATCAAAAACAATTTTGTTCTGGATCCGCCCTTATACTGGTATGGTAATGAGGGTGCTATTGGCCGGCCTAAGAACGGAAACAATGCGAGACCGGTTTGCGGCTAAATAGACAATTAAAAAACGTTATCCGTGTTGTCCGCTTTCTTGAAAATCACACAATCTTAAGAATGCGCATACACATTCTTATGATTGCGCAACTGGATCCTTGCGCAATCTTCGCAAAAAATAACCCTTCCAGATTGAGCGCACATTCTTAAGAATGCGCGGCAAGATAACAGTCTTGTCGATGCCGAGCACCGGCTGCGCTTGGCAAGTCTAGCTGCATCCTCATTCACTAATTCTTAACAATTGTACTGTTGCAATGCAAGCCTTGCATTGCAACAGTACAATTGTTAAGAATTAGGTCACTGCAACGCAAGGTCACTTACCTAGGAAAAGACCGGGAAAAAATAAGAGACAAGTGGGACGAATTCTGATTTTGGGGTAACAATTAAAAGGGGGGGGGGGCGAGAATGAGAATGAATACTGCAACATCCCATAGCGCTTATGCTATTTGCCACTTAAATTGCTATTGTTCAGTGTTCACACCCCCATAGTTACGCTGCAGAGCTTATCTACAGAGTACCGGTAGGCCTAGTCAAAAGAGCAATTTTGGCAGCTTCTGGACATCGTTTTTTTTGTGATATGCATATGATACATATAGGGACTTGTAACTTGTCTAGCCTAAACAAAGCACTTCCCAGACTTGTTCCCAGTCCTCCGTTATTACAAAACTTCCCATAGTGCCTAGTGCCGGGTGGGCAGAAAAAAAACGGTTGCAATAATAACAGGTTTAATTTGATTCAAATTATCGTAGTTATGAGTACAGGAGCATAGATCATTTTCTTTCCTCATATGAATTATTTCCCTTTAACCGCTATACATTTCATCAACATAATTATGCCGTGCAATTGTTTGTTAAAGGGAATATACAACATTTGCAAACATCGAAAATAAAACTACCAAGTTTTTGCGAAATACCTTAACAGGATGTTGGTAAATGACAGTCTAAAGCATCCTGTAAAATTATGGCACCTGGTATACTGTCATTTCAAGAAAAGTGGTATTTTTGTATCAATTTCCAACGCTGATCGGCCGATCAGCGTTGGAAACAACTGGCTTTTTTTCAAATACTGGCCCCAATTGACAATGCACTTGTTTGCAATCGATTACAAACCTATAAACGGGTACGAGCCAGCTAGACTGGTTCCCTGACCTTACAATTCCCCAATGTATGTAAACTGCTCTGTTTCTTCTTATATGGAGTCAGGGAACCAGACTACAGGAAAATGATCGTTTTTCTTGGTTTTTATAGCATTTTCGAACCCAAAACCTCCAAAAAGTTAGTGTAACTATATTTGCTTTATATTTCCAACCCCCCAATTCCATCCATTTCTGAAAATTACAGCAAAAGCAAATGATGTATATTCCCTTTAAGAATAAGATTGCGTAAATTCATAATTGCGCACGAGATATTCCCACGCAATCTTAAGAATGAGCGCTCATTCTTCAGATTGCGTGCTCATTCTTAAGAATGCGTGCTCATTCTTATCTTAAGAATGCACGCTCATTCTTAAGATTGTGTGATTTTCAAGAAAGCGCACAACATCCGTCATTTAACGTAAGGCTTACCTGTCCGGAAATTGGACAACTTATAACTTAGAAATAAAATTCTCTCTACGCTCAACTGTTTCTTGGGAGGGAAAAGCGAAGCCGATAAAGAAATTTAGGCCCGTCCTCATTTTTTGGAGATGTGTGAGTTTTGATTTGATGATCAATCGACGGTGCTAGTCTCGGATGATCAAGATTCAATCGATCGCGGCTTAGCGGTCGATGTTACTCAAACGCCACAGGTCATGCAGGTCATGCATCATACATGTCATATCACATGTATCAGCAGAAAGATCCGAAGGAAAATGGTTTTCGTACCACACGAGGGCGCCGTGCGAGGATGGTTTAGACTTGATCAAGTCATTCACTGGCTTAGCGTTGATAATTTAGCCTGGAAGTGTTTCGTTATAAAAAGTTTGTTGTGTGTTTTTCTTTATTATGTACGAAAGCCCGTTAGTGCCATCGAATGTATAAATTGCTCTTTGGCAAATATATGTTGGTGAATCTTGTTTTTCAGATGTATATGTTTGGGGAATCTTGTTTTTCGGATGAATATGTTTGGTGAATCTTTTTTTTCGGATGTATATGTTTAGCAAGTCTTGTTTTTTTGGATGTATATGTTTGGCGAATCTTGTTTTTTGCAAGTATATGTTTCCCGAGTCTTGTTTTTTGCAAGTATATATTTCCCGAGTCTTGTTTTTGCAAGTATATGTTTCCCGAGTCTTGTTTTTTGCAAGTATAAATTTGGCAAATCTTGTTTTTTGTAAGTATGTTTCGCGAGTCTTGTTTTTGTGAAGTCTATTTTTAGTAACAGTCTTGTTTTTTGCAAGTATATGTTTCCCGAGTCTTGTTTTTTGCAAGTATATGTTTCCCGAGTCTTGTTTTTGGCAAGTATATGTTTCCCGAGTCTTGTTTTTTGCAAGTATGTTTCGCGAGTCTTGTTTTTGTGAAGTCTATTTTTAGTAACAGTCTTGTTTTTTACAAGTATATGTTTCCCGAGTCTTGTTTTTTGGAAGTATATATTTCCCGAGTCTTGTTTTTTGCAAGTATATGTTTCCCGAGTCTTGTTTTTTGCAAGTATATATTTCCCGATTCTTGTTTTTTGCAATATTCTTGCTTATGTCTCATTTTCTACTCTATGGCAATTTACACACAGAAAGAAACTCGGGCAAAATATTCTTGCTTATGTCTCATTTTCTCCACGAGTATTGGGTCTATGGACTTCAAACTTGTTGGACGTTGTAGCCTGACTAACTAGCTCTCCATACATGTCAACAAAATCAGGAGTTTTTCATAACAAGATACCTTCAAGACGAGATATAGCATGTAAACAAACCACGGAGTGAAGCCCGCTGACAGCCTACTCTATGGCAATTTACACACAGAAATAAACTCGGGCAAAATATTCTTGCTTATGTCCATTTTCTCCACGAGTGTTGGGTCTATGGACTTCAAACTTGTTGGACGTTGTAGCCTGACTAATTAGCTCTCCATACATGTCAAAAAAATCAGGATTTTTAATAACAAGATACCTTCAAGACGAGATATAGCATGTAAACAAACCACGGAGTGAAGCCCGCTGACAGCCTACTCTATGGCAATTTACACACAGAAATAAACTCGGGCAAAATATTCTTGCTTATGTCTCATTTTCTCCACGAGTATTGGGTCTATGGACTTCAAACTTGTTGGACGTTGTAGCCTGACTAACTAGCTCTCCATACATGTCAAAAAAATCAGGAATTTTTCATAACAAGATACCTCCAAGACGAGATATAGTATGTAAACAAACCACGGAGTGAAGCCCGCTGACAGCCTACTCTATGGCAATTTCCACACAGAAATAAACTCGGGCAAAATATTCTTGCTTATGTCTCATTTTCTCCACGAGATTGGGTCTATGGACTTCAAACTTGTTGGACGTTGTAGCCTGACTAACTAGCTCTCCATACATGTCAAAAAAATCAGGAATTTTTCATAACAAGATACCTCCAAGACGAGATATAGTATGTAAACAAACCACGGAGTGAAGCCCGCTGACAGCCTACTCTATGGCAATTTACACACAGAAATAAACTCGGGCAAAATATTCTTGCTTATGTCTCATTTTCTCCACGAGATTTGGGTCTATGGACTTCAAACTTGTTGGACGTTGTAGCCTGACTAACTAGCTCTCCATACATGTCAAAAAAATCAGGAATTTTTTAATAACAAGATACCTTCAAGACGAGATATAGCATGTAAACAAACCACGGAGTGAAGCCCGCTGACAGCCTACTCTATGGCAATTTCAACACAGAAATAAACTCGGGCAAAATATTCTTGCTTATGTCTCATTTTCTCCACGAGTATTGGGTCTATGGACTTCAAACTTGTTGGACGTTGTAGCCTGACTAACTAGCTCTCCAAACATGTCAAAAAAATCAGGAATTTTTCATAACAAGATACCTTCAAGACGAGATATAGCATGTAAACAAACCACGGAGTGAAGCCCGCTGACAGCCTACTCTATGGCAATTTACACACAGAAATAAACTCGGGCAAAATATTCTTGCTTATGTCTCATTTTCTCCACGAGATTTGGGTCTATGGACTTCAAACTTGTTGGACGTTGTAGCCTGACTAACTAGCTCTCCATACATGTCAAAAAAATCAGGAATTTTTCATAACAAGATACCTTCAAGACGAGATATAGTATGTAAACAAACCACGGAGTGAAGCCCGCTGACAGCCTACTCTATGGCAATTTACACACAGAAATAAACTCGGGCAAAATATTCTTGCTTATGTCTCATTTTCTCCACGAGATTTGGGTCTATGGACTTCAAACTTGTTGGACGTTGTAGCCTGACTAACTAGCTCTCCATACATGTCAAAAAAATCAGGAATTTTTACATAACAAGATACCTTCAAGACGAGATATAGCATGTAAACAAACCACGGAGTGAAGCCCGCTGACAGCCTACTCTATGGCAATTTCCACACAGAAATAAACTCGGGCAAAATATTCTTGCTTATGTCTCATTTTCTCCACGAGATTTGGGTCTATGGACTTCAAACTTGTTGGACGTTGTAGCCTGACTAACTAGCTCTCCATACATGTCATAAAAATCAGGAATTTTTAATAACAAGATACCTTCAAGACGAGATATAGCATGTAAACAAACCACGGAGTGAAGCCCGCTGACAGCCTACTCTATGGCAATTTCCACACAGAAATAAACTCGGGCAAAATATTCTTGCTTATGTCTCATTTTCTCCACGAGTATTGGGTCTATGGACTTCAAACTTGTTGGACGTTGTAGCCTGACTAACTAGCTCTCCAAACATGTCAAAAAAATCAGGAATTTTTCATAACAAGATACCTTCAAGACGAGATATAGCATGTAAACAAACCACGGAGTGAAGCCCGCTGACAGCCTACTCTATGGCAATTTACACACAGAAATAAACTCGGGCAAAATATTCTTGCTTATGTCTCATTTTCTCCACGAGATTTGGGTCTATGGACTTCAAACTTGTTGGACGTTGTAGCCTGACTAACTAGCTCTCCATACATGTCAAAAAAATCAGGAATTTTTACATAACAAGATACCTTCAAGACGAGATATAGCATGTAAACAAACCACGGAGTGAAGCCCGCTGACAGCCTACTCTATGGCAATTTCCACACAGAAATAAACTCGGGCAAAATATTCTTGCTTATGTCTCATTTTCTCCACGAGTTTGGGTCTATGGACTTCAAACTTGTTGGACGTTGTAGCCTGACTAACTAGCTCTCCATACATGTCAAAAAAATCAGGAATTTTTACATAACAAGATACCTTCAAGACGAGATATAGCATGTAAACAAACCACGGAGTGAAGCCCGCTGACAGCCTACTCTATGGCAATTTCCACACAGAAATAAACTCGGGCAAAATATTCTTGCTTATGTCTCATTTTCTCCACGAGTTTGGGTCTATGGACTTCAAACTTGTTGGACGTTGTAGCCTGACTAACTAGCTCTCCATACATGTCAAAAAAATCAGGAATTTTTAATAACAAGATACCTTCAAGACGAGATATAGCATGTAAACAAACCACGGAGTGAAGCCCGCTGACAGCCTACTCTATGGCAATTTCCACACAGAAATAAACTCGGGCAAAATATTCTTGCTTATGTCTCATTTTCTCCACGAGTATTGGGTCTATGGACTTCAAACTTGTTGGACGTTGTAGCCTGACTAACTAGCTCTCCAAACATGTCAAAAAAATCAGGAATTTTTCATAACAAGATACCTTCAAGACGAGATATAGCATGTAACAAACCACGGAGTGAAGCCCGCTGACAGCCTACTCTATGGCAATTTACACACAGAAATAAACTCGGGCAAAATATTCTTGCTTATGTCTCATTTTCTCCACGAGATTGGGTCTATGGACTTCAAACTTGTTGGACGTTGTAGCCTGACTAACTAGCTCTCCATACATGTCAAAAAAATCAGGAATTTTTCATAACAAGATACCTCAAGACGAGATATAGCATGTAAACAAACCACGGAGTGAAGCCCGCTGACAGCCTACTCTATGGCAATTTACACACAGAAATAAACTCGGGCAAAATATTCTTGCTTATGTCTCATTTTCTCCACGAGATTTGGGTCTATGGACTTCAAACTTGTTGGACGTTGTAGCCTGACTAACTAGCTCTCCATACATGTCAAAAAAATCAGGAATTTTTCATAACAAGATACCTTCAAGACGAGATATAGCATGTAAACAAACCACGGAGTGAAGCCCGCTGACAGCCTACTCTATGGCAATTTACACACAGAAATAAACTCGGGCAAAATATTCTTGCTTATGTCTCATTTTCTCCACGAGATTTGGGTCTATGGACTTCAAACTTGTTGGACGTTGTAGCCTGACTAACTAGCTCTCCATACATGTCAAAAAAATCAGGAATTTTTCATAACAAGATACCTCAAGACGAGATATAGCATGTAAACAAACCACGGAGTGAAGCCCGCTGACAGCCTACTCTATGGCAATTTACACACAGAAATAAACTCGGGCAAAATATTCTTGCTTATGTCTCATTTTCTCCACGAGTATTGGGTCTATGGACTTCAAACTTGTTGGACGTTGTAGCCTGACTAACTAGCTCTCCAAACATGTCAAAAAAATCAGGAATTTTTCATAACAAGATACCTTCAAGACGAGATATAGCATGTAAACAAACCACGGAGTGAAGCCCGCTGACAGCCTACTCTATGGCAATTTCCACACAGAAATAAACTCGGGC